AGACAGTAGCAATTTTGATGATGTCTGCAGAAGAGTTTCCTACATTATTCATTATATAGCATCGTTGAAAAATGTGCACGAAACTGTGAATTTATAGGTGAAACGTGAGCCCACAACATTAATTAAGTCCTTTTATGCATCTACAATTAAATTAATACTTCTTTATTTTTCGAATTTTTCTGTACCCTTAACATCAAACATCCCTTAATTATTAAAAAAAGTTATCACCAATACCTCCTTACACGATGTTAAAATTGACTGAAACACGAAATACACTTTTTTTGGTAGAATGACCCATATGTACAATAGTACTTTTAAAAAGTTAAGACCTTAAAAAATGTACAACCTCTTGTATGTACAAATGCATAAACTGCATGCAAGATTAAATTTACCAACCTTTTCTCTATCTTAAAAAAACGATGGGGCACGTGATAAAGCCTGTTTATTCGTCGTATGATTGGCTGAGACTGATTAAGCGGGGGTAAATTTTAAAATGAGATTTTGAAAAATCAGTGAAAAGTAATTTTAATTTGTAAGTTGATAGAGATTATGTGTTACAACAAAGATATCATTGTTATATTTTTCGTTAAAATATAGAAAATAAATGTTAGAATGAATTTCAGGGGTTGACCCATGGAGTACGCAGGGGGCGCATCTCTCTAGTGAAAAAAAAGAGTTGCAAGGCAACATCTAATTTCTGTGAAAATACCATGGTCAGAGTTGGGTATATAGCATCCAAAAAAGTGCCGCTGCTAAAATATGCACTTTAGGAAAATAATTTACTATAATCACAATTATTTTTTAATCAGTACTTATCCAATCCCTTATCGTTAGTATTTTTTTTTTTATACTTGCAAAAACCATTTACAAATCGGTACGAGCGATCTTGCTAAAATTTACCTGTATACTAACAAGAACCTAAGAAGAAATTGTCTACAAAAACAAAAGGTCATAGATACTGATGAATTTAATTATGTGGAGTCAATCACAAGTGATAAAGCGATCCCCAAAGATTCCAGTTATGCATCAGTCATTGAAGTTGGTGATGTTTTGAATGACTCTACGAAATCTGAGAGTGACAGTTTGTTTGATGATAGCAGGTATCTTTAAAAACAGTATTACTGATAAACCATCAGTATATTACTGTTAATATATTAAAATTTGTGTTTCCTTTTATCGTAGCAAAAATAGTACTGTACGTCAAAGGTCTGGCCCATCTTCAATTTTAAATGTTGATCTATCAAAATTGTATGTTTCAACGGAAGTGAGGGAAATATTATTCAAAGCAAGGAAAGAGGTTCGAAATCTATGTCGTAAAAATAAGACTGCAAACATGAGACTTTATCGTTTTAAAAAGAGCATAACTAATGCCAATTCTCTGCTAAATCATTTGAGAAAAAAAAGTGAAATTGGTGAAGTAGTCCATAATGTTATAAAAGTAAGTAATAAAAAAAAATTCCGATGAAATGCTTGATAAATTATCGAATAGTTTTTTGTCATTATTACACTCTTATTGTATGAAATAACTATAGTGCAAGCCGATCTCTTTTATTTTACCACCAATGAAATTGTAACTGTTCTAAACTGATTTTTATTTTAATTGTTACTTTTTTTACTGATACAATTTTTTGTTAGCATAATTTTTGAAAGATATTTAAACAATATAATATGTAACTCAATACTTACATAAAATACATTTTACAAATTTTAGTAGACAATAATTTTCCTTGCTTATTTCCATTTCCCAACAAGGGTACTTTTTTTCAGTTTTTAGCGTTTTTTACCGTTTTTTTTTACTTATTACAAACATATTAGCTCCAGAAAAACGAAATTAAATATTTTAATATAGGAATCAATTCCTCCAATAGGCTACCTGATTTTTTCGAGACTACTCAAACAAGAACATCGTCGCATCTAGTTTCCATCAGCGTTGAAAAAATTTGCTGCTACCCTCCATTTTCATTCGCCTAAGAGTTATAACGACGTGCGGGAAACATTTTTAAAATGTTTACCTCATCCAAACCAAATTAATAAGAGGTATGGAAAAATTGAATGTCTTAGTAATATTAACTTAAATACTATTCAGGCAGTTAAAAATAAAGTGGACAAAATCAAGCAAAATAATTTAGAAGCTGAGGTGTTCGTGAAATTGGTCTTTGATGAAATGAAAATTTAAAAAAAAGTGGAAACCATGCAGGGTGTAGAGTATGGATTTATGGATATAGGCGCCGCGATGCAAATAGTAAAGTTTGGCACTGCAAAGTTTTGCTCCGTGATCAATGAGGCGTTCGACATTTTAAATTCAAGACAAAAATTTCATACTAACAAGCAGAAAAATGCTATAGACAGTAGCAATTTTGATGACGTCTGCAGAAGAGTTTCCTACATTGTTCATTATGTAGCATCGTTGAAAAATGTGCATGGCACACTAATTAATGATTGAAACTGACAGAAAAACAGATTTCGTTGGATTAATTATTGCGCTATTCAATTGCTTAAAAGAGTATAAACAATATATTTTGCAAGCTGGAATGGATATTTGCTAACGTACAAGTTATTACAAGATTTTTTAGAAAATTTTGTCAGAGCAGTCAGAAGCAAGGGTGGGCACAATAATAATCCTACCGCATTTCAGTTTATGCACACATTCAAAAAGTTACTCGTCCATGCAGATGCAAAAGAGTCCCCTTATNGACGCAATGATGGACGTAGGCTTCCTTCCGAATCATAGTGTCATTTTTGTAATTAGAATTATTAGCATACCGTAATTTGCCGTCTGGTCTAAATTCGAACTCGAGAAACTCATGACCAAATTTACCCTTGTGGCCAACGTAATAACGGATGTAAAAGTCCGTTGGCATTCTGTGTTCTGTTCTTTAGCAATCAATTACCTAGCTAAGAGAATTGGTCAATGAAAATTATTACGCTTTTTGCAAAAAATATTTAATAAAATACCATTTACAAGAATTTGTCCTGAATTATGTGGGTGTGGATAAAATTTGAAATTTCAACTGAATTGATTAATCACGTACTAAGTAACTTTTTTATTTCACGTTACGCACTTCTGCCTTGCTTTCATCACATACATTCAGATTACGACCTGCACCTAACCCATAATCTGTGTATACAGTTGTGACCTGACCTGGCACGACTCCGTCCATCGACTCATGTCACGGTGTAAGATAAGACAGGTGGTTGAGGTGGTACGAAGTACGGGTTGCAGTTTTGTTGCAGTACCGCTCACACTCGTTAGATGGCGTATAAGTAAGAAAGGCACGATATATAGACATGTTAATTGCGTCATGGCTGTTTAACTCAAAGTTTTGCCAAGAAAAATTATTACTCTATATAGATATCAAAAATGTATAATGTAATTGTAATTCTATTTATTTACAAATTTGCAAAAGAGTCCTCTTATGCAAATTGCCAGTCTTTAGATGACACATCCTTGTTACAAATTTCTCATGAAAATGTAGCAATGAAAGAAAATTTTACATCGAATGACAATTTGACCATAAACAGCAATCAATTACTTATTGATCAAACAAAAAACAGCTATGGTAAAAAAGCAAGCCAAATTTGGTATTCTATTATAAAAAACAAAATGTTTTGAATGCCCCATTCTCTTAATTAACTGCGGAAGAAACATCGTCTATGTTACCAGAGAGAAAAAATCGTGGTGGACTGATTAAGCCATGCAGTGATATTATCGAAATTTGTAAGATAACAGAAAAAATTTTTCGACAATACTACATCCCGACAAAAGGAATTTTTGAAATGTTGCAGTCTTATATTTTAAAAAATATACCTTCTACGTTATTACCCATAAGACACACGAAAGACCCAAGAAGACATAGATCATACTTTACATAATACAGAGAATAGTATACAAATATTTAGAAATTAGAACCCATTATCACGAATCTTTAAAAAATAAATCAAAAAAGCAACTGGTTTCATTTCGCAATGAATAAAAATTTAATGCAAAAAACTTTCATTTGTACGAGCATATCATGAAAATCAGGGTATCTAAATTTACACAGTAACTATTTAATAAATAACCATCTTTCGGTAAAATTTACATGTACAGCCGCCCTCATTTTGTCAATAATGTTTCACACCTTTTAATTAAATACTAAATTAAATAATAATCAAAGATTAATATTCCTATTTAACGTACAATATAATAACTTATCGTTTATTTTTAAGTAAAAAAAGGGGCAAACTTCTAGTAATGAGAAAAAAAACTCCATTCCGAGGATTTGACCTCAAGACCACCGTGGTCTGAGGCAAAAGTGTTATCATTTGCGCTATAAGCTTTCAAATATATTGATGCTAAAAAGTACTTGATCCTCATTGGCAAGCAGCCCATAAATCAGCTTATTGATTGTTAATTTATTTTGACATTGACAATTTAAACAATACCCATGAAAACTAGTGTACCAACATCATTTTTTGATATTAAATTTTCTGCTGCCTCTGGTCTTAGTCGTTCAATGGGACTTAAACATTATTTGATTCAAGAGTTCCAAGAAGGAGCTTAGTTAATATGGTTATTTGGTTATATTTGCAATATTCTGTAATGTCAAGTATTATTAGACAAAATTTTTAATTTTTATTTACTATTAATCTATCGTTTTATTAAGACTTTTTGACAAATAAATATATCAACATAAATTTGTCGTTTAGCATGCTAACATAACGTTTTTGTGTAACTGTTACATGACACCTAAATAAGACCAACAATTACAGAAGATTATTTGTATGTATAAATTGAAACGTATCATAAAAAATGGTCTTACCTATGATGGCTCTGAGTCAAATTATATTAAATATTGATAAAGATTTTGAATAAGACAATTCTGAGGTGTTAGCTGACTTGGCACATGCAGCTACCCTAATGATCACTAAATCGTAAATTTATGTAGAAATCAAACATTATGGTCAAAGTTCACAAAAAGGGATATAGGCAACTATAAAGCAGATCGATTCATGCAAAAAAACTGTTATTGTATGTTTATTGTATAAAACCTTAAGCTATTCGCTACAATATTTGGTGAAAGTTTAATAACAATAGGAAGGAGTAGTCTTGTCGATATAATATTAACATTACATGAGGACACAAAATATAATATTAAATTTGCAGAAACCAAAGTGTATGACAGTAAGTGTTTCTATGAAGTTAATAACTATATTGGCTTAATTTTAAAATGCAAGCCAATCAATGAGAAAACGAGGCACTTGAGGTCCTGTACAAGATAATAAAAGCAGCGCAAACCCTCAGGGTCCCGAGACTGATTGACATCGAGTAATGAACCAGTCTTTGAAGTCGTAAAGGATATGTGCTCATCGCCAATGACGATTTCAAGCTCCTGCCGGCCAACACGGTCAGGCTGAGGCCACAACGAGTCATCTTCCTGCATGATCTCAGAGTCTTGTATTATTCGCTTTAGTTCCTCCATGACGCAATGATGGACGTAGGCTTCCTTCCGAATCATAGTGTCATTTTTGTAATTAGAATTATTAGCATACCGTAATTTGCCGTCTGGTCTAAATTCGAACTCGAGAAACTCATGACCAAATTTACCCTTGTGGCCAACGTAATAACGGATGTAAAAGTCCGTTGGCATTCTGTGTTCTGTTCTTTAGCAATCAATTACCTAGCTAAGAGAATTGGTCAATGAAAATTATTACGCTTTTTGCAAAAAATATTTAATAAAATACCATTTACAAGAATTTGTCCTGAATTATGTGGGTGTGGATAAAATTTGAAATTTCAACTGAATTGATTAATCACGTACTAAGTAACTTTTTTATTTCACGTTACGCACTTCTGCCTTGCTTTCATCACATACATTCAGATTACGACCTGCACCTAACCCATAATCTGTGTATACAGTTGTGACCTGACCTGGCACGACTCCGTCCATCGACTCATGTCACGGTGTAAGATAAGACAGGTGGTTGAGGTGGTACGAAGTACGGGTTGCAGTTTTGTTGCAGTACCGCTCACACTCGTTAGATGGCGTATAAGTAAGAAAGGCACGATATATAGACATGTTAATTGCGTCATGGCTGTTTAACTCAAAGTTTTGCCAAGAAAAATTATTACTCTATATAGATATCAAAAATGTATAATGTAATTGTAATTCTATTTATTTACAAATTTTATAATCTACTACTAATACGTAGAATAAGATACAATGGAGGCAATAAATTAATGAATTAAAAATTAGGTTGAAACCAATTTCGATATTTTTTTTCTCTTTACTTTCTTTTAAAACATCCTTATTTTTTATGTTGACGTAATGTCTCATTCTCATGCTAGTGTAATAATAGATAGATTTGGATATTGCATCCTCTTTATGTAGTTTACAGGGGAACTGAAATTTATGATTGCGCAAAATATTTTTAACAACATATTCGTAAACATTGACAAGCTGATTATTTATGGCTTCCCTAAAATATTTTTCTATTTTATCAAAGAGTTTGTAAAAAAAAATATTTGCATGGATGAGCGCTCCCCTATTTTTAAAGTTATTTAATAATGCTTCTAGTTTAACAGAATTTCCAGAATTACTATTTGAAGTAATTTGACATGTGGTGCATTTTTCAAATTTTTCTTGTAGTTTTCGACAAATAGAGCCAGTGACGTAATAAATAATACAACTTATCGTGAACAATATTGAGAGAAATGTTAGAGTTTGTATTTACATTTTGGTGCACCTTTTACGTTACAATTGTTTTCTCGTCTGCTACTACCTTTTCGACACTGATCCTCCTAGTGGTCAACTTAGGTACTGCCGTATAAAAAATATCAGTGCTGAAATCAGTCGTAACATCGTTGATTCAGCGTTTATTCCATGTTGAATCAATTCTGATTCAGCATTGAATCAGCGTTTGTTGAAAACAATATTAGTAATTAACTTCAAAACAGTGCATTTTTCATGGTAGCATTGCAGTTTGCAATTAAAATAGATTATTTTGAAGCTCACAACCTGTTACAACAACATGTTCTCCAGTTGATAATAAGTCAACATTGATTGAACGCTGAATCAGCATTGATTCAACATGGAGTAAACGCAAAATCAACGATGTAATTTACGACTGATTTCAGCATTTATTCATCACTGATATTTTGGATAGGGTGTTACAAAATTGCAACTGACCTTACTGACCGCACAAAGCATAGAGGTGATACTTCGCACGTCGCCTGTCTTATCTTACACTGTGACTCATATCGATTTAGAATTGAATTAAGGGGATTTAGACGTACGGAAGATTGTTGTTTTCAGAATAAGCTATACCAAAAGTGATAAGCATAGAAAAATAACGTACAGGTCTTGAGATTTCTGCAACCAGTTGGTCACATTTCTACATACTTATCTGGATCACCGAAAAACCTGTGACTACGTGACTAGTCGGTTTTATAACTATACTAGTACAAGTTTTTCAATAGCTTTAGTACAGGATTTTTCTGTACCATGGATAGTCTATTAAATTTGTATACTGCGCATGGCTTTCTACTGTACCGCGCATAGTTCGTGCGCTTATTTATAGTGGATTTATGTATGTATATATATACATATAAATATATATGTACATATGTATGAGTATGCATACTTGCATACGTGTGTGGAATTGTCATTGTTTTTTTGGCTCAACATGTATATTGTTCTTTGCGAGTAAAAACCAATTATACGCAACAGAAAAGTGACTACAAGTGCCTACTGCACTTATCATTACATCTTGTTAGATTCTTATCAATGTATTGAACTTTATATTGTGTTGTGGTGGATATACTAAAATCCTAACCTCTTAAGGAGGTTCGGTAGTGTTAGCGGGGGGAAATCTCAGAGAGGCAAGGGGAGGGAGAGCGTCTGGCAACGTTTTGAATTTTTTCGGCTGCTGGCACGTCGTCTACTGTTGTTGTCGTCAACTGCTGTTGTCGTCGTCTACTGATGACAGTGTACTCATTTCTTCAGTTGAATTTTTTATAATTAAATTTTCAATTACAAAAGGAGTTTTTACTATTCATTACATTTCAAAGCGCGCTCCAAAAGCAGCGTTGCCAAGTCGTCTGCTGCGAGCACATTTTTGCTGTTTTTTAACAGAAATTTGTGGTAGGGCTCTCTCAAACTTTGACAAAATATTATTTTGACAATATTCTTTCATTAAAAAAAAAAAAAAAGCAAGTTCATTTAGCCGTTTTTTTTTTATGTGAAATTTAAGTGATTTCTCCATAAGCCTACATGTTAAAATATTGTTTTTTCAGGTCAATATATCTTGAAAACGGTGTGGTTAAACCCTTCAAAAATTTAGCTGTAATTTGATACTATTATCCCAAACGACATATCGAAATTTCAAAAATTTTCATCATAAAAAATTATCACTACCGAACCTCCTTAAACTTTTACAGCTTCGTATATATATATACTGACATTCTGAATGCTCCCATTAACCGACTAACTTTCTGTACTGGTACAGGAAAATCCCGTACCACGTATCGGATTTTGACGTACTAAGCGTAAGGTTTATCTATACTCAATAAGGTACTTTAAAGTATACTACCGTACCAAATATACCTGTACCAGTAAACATTTTTCTTTACAGAGTATCGAAAATACTTGTACTAACATATAGAACGTGTTTTTCTGGTAACAACAATTTTCCGTGCGTGAGACTCTTACTATAAGAGTAAGAGGTGGTACCTAGGAACCTGGGACGTGGTAATAGACCAAAAGCTGTGGCCGGTGAGAGGGTGGTCAAAATTTTAATTAGTATCACCATAGACAAAAAAAATAGACTGCTCTTATGTACAGCGCTGAAGCACAAGTAGAAAAAGACATAACATCGAACGCGTGTATCTGTCTCTCTCGCACGTTGCCAAGGGCAGGGAGGAAGGGAGGTTGCATCAACTAGACTTAGCAGACTTGTGAAGTTGGCGCCCGTAAATATAAAATATTTATATTTTGCACCCATACAGGGCTTAAGCGATTCCTCTTCACTTACAAATTAATTCTCCACTTGAATTTTTATTTGCGGATCAACAGTTTGCGAGATATTTGCAAAATAAAAAGTCGAAAGTGGGCGCGGCGCTGAAGTATGAAAAAGTTTGTTTTAAGCGCTAAAGTGGGTTAAAATCCAACACTACCTGTACGATTCAATTCCTCCTCATTTGTGGATTACGGAGGTATATAAATTAATGCAATTAAATGTCACAAAGTTTGTCAATAATGAATTTAATTATTGAGTTAGAGAATCTAGTAACTTTTGTCTAGTGACTTTTGGTACAGTGCTCCGTTCCTGTTCGGTACATGTCGTTTCATTAATCTATTAATTATTATTAATAAGTTATTCAGCTTTTGGGTACACACACACACACACATACACACAAGCACACACATTTTTCGATGACTATGCAATCTAGTGTAAACCCATGTAATAAACATTTTTTTAAATTAAGTACTTGTAAATTTATTACTGGGGCTGTGTTTGCATAGGCTCTGTTTGTAGTCTGTTGAGGTCACGTGATCATTTATGATGAGTGCGATTTAGACGGTGATATCATGCTGTCTCCCTCGCACTTATGATAAATGATCACGTGACCTTAACAAACTTAATAACAAACAGAGCCTTAGGCGAACACAGCCTGTGTCACTTTTATTCATTTTCACTTGTCGGTAACTTGATCTTCAATTTCCCTGGTTAATTATTTATGCACGAAATTTGAATGCTTGAGCTGTTTTCTAAAACTTGTTCAAACAAATTTGTTACGTGTGTGCTTAGCTGTGTCTAGTAATGATTATAGCTGTACTGCCACTTTTGAGTTGTGTTGTTATTTATTTCTTGAATAACAACAAATATTAAAATTTTGCGCGTAGCGAATAAATATCAGTCCACAGTGTTTGCCACAATAGATTCCAGATATTAAATTCTTAAGATGAAAAATCTGTACCTATTGACAAATAAATTTTTCCTTGAGTTTGAAGTATGTAATGTATGTGTGTGTGTGTATGTATTGACCCAAGAGCTGAATAACTTATAACTAATAATTAATAGATTAATACCTTCTAAAGTTTTCTATTCTGATAAATATTTTGTAGAACCCGCTGTACGGAGAAAACGACAGGTACCGAACAACAGGAACGGAGCACTGGAACAAAAGTCACTAGAAAAAAGTTACTAGATTCTTTCACTCAATAAATTAATTCATTATTTACAAACTTTGTGAGATTTAATTACATTAAATTATATACCTTCGTAATCCGCAAATGAGGAGGAATTGAATCGTACAGGTAGTATTGGATTTTAACCCAGTTTAGCACTTAAAACAAAGTTTTTTAAACTTCAGCGCCGCGCCCATTTTCGACTTTTTATTTTGTAAATATCTCGCAAACTATTGATCCGCAAATAAAAATTCAAGTGGAGGATAAATTCGCAAGTAAGGAGGAATCGTTTAAGCCCTGAATAGGTGCAAAATATTAATATTTAATATTTACGGGCGCAAACTACACAAGTCTAGACTTAGTTCACTGACCCCCACCGTTGGCAAGTGCAAGAGAGACAAACATACACGTTCAATGTTATGTCTCTTTCTACTCGTGCTTAAGCACCGTACGTACAGGAGAAAGAGCAGTCTATTTCTTATATGTCTATGGCCATCACTTGCACCAGTATTGAAGAACCTAATAATTCGTGGACATCCAAAATATTTTTGTCATATTTTATTCTGGTATAAAATTTTGTTGGTATTTAAGGAGTGCCAAATAGTTTCCTTTATAAACCAACCGCAGCTTAAATAAATACATATAAAATAAAAAGTTGTTAAAAAAACTGCCATTTGCGGCAAGATTAGAATGCATCT